AAAAAACAGACCAGGAAAAAAATTCAAAAAGTCAACGCCGGAGACTGGCGACAAAAACCCCTTGTATATATTAAGAGAAAAAATATCAGAATAGAACTTTCATTTCTTTCATTTGATAACTTCAGAGTTAATATATATATATATATATATAGTATTAAAATAATGCTAAATGATTTTAGGGGGACCCGAGGGCTCGGATCCGGGGACCCGGCCCGAGGACCCGGCGGGCCAACCCGGAAATATCCGTTTTTTTGTCCAAAAATTCACATTTTGGGGTTCAAACTCGGTGCAGTGGGGAAGAATGTGCAGCTCTTTACCACTGGGCCAACCAATATATTTGATAAAAAATAGACAATAAATATATATTATATACAACTATGGTGTAAATGATAAATATGTTAAATAAATTAATAATTTTCATATTAATTATTATTAAATAATTTTAATTAAATAACTAACAAATGCAATATAAGAAAAAATATATATAATCACGGTTCAATACTTCAAAACATCTATTATTAATTAATATATCAATATAATCTCCACTATTGAAAAATATAAAGTATTGAATCAATTCACTAATGTTATTAAAATCGATAGTGTGAAAAAATCGAATGAAAAATAAAATAATATTTTTATTTAAAAAAATAGATTATAACTCATTTCAATTAATTTAAATCCATTTACCTCAATTATTGACAAGAACTTATTAATATTATTGAGGATTTTATCATAAGATAATTTTTTAAAAATATAAATGATGTTTATTTTAACAAAAATAGATTATATCTCATTTCAATTAATATTCTTACTTTAAAAATAACATTACATATGACTAGTATTATCAAAATATTATGATGTGATTTCTCTTTTAGTAATTGGTTTAGTTTGTAAAAATCGTAAGAATTAAATCGTAGATCATATGATTTAATCTTTTTTTTTTTACATTTACATTTTATTCGAATCGTAAGATTTAAATTGATTAAGCTCAAGTCCATTCATTTTTTTTTATTTTTTTATTATATTATATTTGTTAATAATTTAATTAAATTATTTAATAATAATGAATATGATAATTAATAATTATTTAAAATTATTTATTATAATCATTTTACACCTTTTGTTTATGTTATATATATATATATTCCTTGTTACAATAATCCTAACTATAAATATAAAAATATAAATAACACTATCAAATGATTATAATAATTGTATAACTAATGTTTTATAAATTATTAATTGTCATGTTGAGTATTATTAATATAAAAATCCCGACTTATAACAAATGCATATATATTTAATTTTGAAAAATATAAAAAAATACGATTTAATTTAAAAGAAAGATTGAATATTGATTTTTGATATTTTGAAAAATTTCTCAATTATTATTTTCAATTATAAATACCCATAATCCAATTTTCACGACTTTCATTTTATTTAGTTTATGTCTCAAGGTCTTAATTGTTTCATTTTTTTCTAAAATTGTTTAATGTTTAAATTCAATTATTTTTTAATTTTGAATTTAAAGTTAATCTCATGTTTTTTCAAGTTCAATATAAGTTTTTTTGTTTAAAAAAAAATGAAAAACCGGGTTGGACCCGGACCCGGATGGACCCGGGTGGACCCGCCCCGGACCCGAACCCGGCTCCCCGCGGGTCGGTTTCGGGTCCCCTAAAAGTCGGACCCGGACCCAAACCCGACCCGCCCCGTGGCCATGTCTACTCCCGGGTACAAGATGGAGATACTGAGCATGGGGCATCATCAAATCAAGTAACTGTGGCTGGATTGACATAAATTGCAGTCCCTTTCCTTCTACGATCGGATGCAAGAGCTCCCCGATCTCCAATACGATCCGGATCATCCGGATTGTTCGACTTCCGACCCAAAGCTTTCATTAAACTCTTACCTTTTCTCGTAACTTGACTCGTTAAACTTTTCCCTCTACCTCCGGCCATCTACAATTTAACAAAAAAAATGAATTAGTATTTAATTTAAACAAAAATAATTTAGAAATTAAAAAAAAAAAAAAAAAATTTAAAGTTGCTCGTGTGAAAACACGCGAGTAGACCAATTTTACTCGCGTGCAGGCACGCGAGTAAAATAGATCTCCTCGCGTGTTTTCACACGAGCAGCCAAAAAATAAAAAAATAAAAAAAATATAAGCTCGTGTGGTTTTATGCTAGGCGCTAGCTCGATAAACTGAGGTCGCGTGGTTTCACACGAGCACAAACCCTCTGTTCGCATAATAACACACGACCTCAATTTTTTTTTATTTTTTCAATCAAAAACATACGAATTTAAAAAAATAAAAAATAAAAAATTACATTCATCTACTCGCGTGGTTCTACACGAGTAACTCCGCTGTACTCGTGTAGAATCACGCGAGTAAAACAAAATGCTTCGTTTTAAAAAAAAATTCAATAATCGTAATCTAGGTAACGAAACAATTAAAAAAATATAAGAATTACCTCCGATATGTTATCGTCTCGGTCGGGATCTGAAATCGAAGTATAAAAGCTTGAGAGAGTTTTTTGTGGAAATTTACCTTTTGTGCTTGCACGATTAAATTGTGCCTGCACAAATCATTTCAGTTGAGTAAATCCTCTCAATCATAGAGAAAAATTTAATTTATATTTCACAATTTGAGATAAATCCATTTTTTTTTTTTTACTTTTTCTCTAATCTCAAAATTGACATTCTACTATATTCTTCCATCCTCATTTTCCTTTTTATTTTTTATTTTTAAATTAATTTTCATTTTTTGTTTTCTATTTTTATTATTATTTTATTCTACTATAATTTTTTTAATTTTGTTTTCTCGTTTTATAACTATTTTTTTCATTTTCACGTACATTAATCGACTATCAACTAACACATAGTCGATTAAGAAACGGACTACTAAAATCATTATTGAATAATGAAAATTGACTACTAAATATAACCAAAACAACCGCAATGTTGTCAAACACGATTCTACAATAACAAATCCAAACAACCAAAAAATAAGCCCATATTAACTTTTTTCTAAACAAATATACATAAAATGTAATTGATTTATATAAATCGGATGATGAATTGACAATGCCAGAACAAAAATACGCCACCACTATGCCCCAAGTCCGATTACATGTGGCAAACAAAGGAATCAACAACAGAAATCTAAAAATGAATTAAAAATATGCAGTCGATTAACCTCCGTGAACTTCTTCCTCCCACGTCGTCGTTCTTCGTACAAAAACCCTAGATATGCCACCATTACTCCACCACCAGCCTTATTATTATTATTTTTTTTTTTTTTTGAGTAAATTCAAATCCATTACAAGGAGAAGTAGGGGAGGGGGGACTCGAACCCTAGACCTTTACCCTATTGGTAAATGCTAGATACCAACTCTCCTAATGAGGGTTGGTACCACCAGCCTTATTAACAACACCACTCGGTCCACACCTGCACCACCATCTCCTCCAAAATATCCACCGCCACCTAATCCAAAACATTATTAAAAGTATAATTGGTAGTTTCCTTTTATTAGTCACCTACCTAGTAAGTAGTAACTAAAGGGGCTATGTTAAATTATTTATTTGCAGTGGTTAACCTTACATGATTTTTCTAAATGAAAAGGATGTTACTGCACTCGAGTTGCTCTATTCAGGATTTCAAATACGCACACTCCATTTCTTTTCTACTGTAATAGAAATGTTACACATATAAATGTTATGAGAAAAACTCTATTTGACTCATAAAATTATAAGATTTATTTTGTTTTAAAGTCTATCAATTAATTTAGAAATGATGCAATCCATTTTTTTCCCTCTTATTACTCCTCAATTATTTCATATATTAATTCTAACCAACAAACTAAGTATTTGAAAGGAGAGAACTAGTGTCTTCGAAATTAAAGTGAAACGACGAGAGAACAATATGATTGCACAAAACTCTCAAATAGCATACGAGATTTGAGATTTAATAAATGCGTGAATTGCATATAACTCCAGAGCAGAGGACTTATTTATACTCCTATCCACACCAAAATCAGTCTTACATAGAAGCCATTCCCTTGTCTCTGGTCCAGAATGCCCCTAACAATATAATTTACATCTTTTATTATTATTTTTTTTTTTTTTTGAGTAAAATATAATTTACATCAATCTCATCTATAATCAAAGTTGTAAAACGCGGGAATCAGACCCGAGTCAGTTCGGCACCACCTCACGATTAATCGGTGCGGCGGTGATTAATTGGCGATAAATCAGTTTTTTTAATTTAATGTAATATAATTTTAGATAAAATTATAAATACTCAAAGTATATAAAAAAATATATATTTAAACATGATTTTGTACCCATCATTTATATATTATAATCACATAACAAAATTTTAATTATAATAAGATTATAATAAAATAAAAATCCTTACATATTAAAAATGAAATAAAAATCTCGTTTATTCAAAATTATAACGTTTATTCAAAATTATACTTGAACATTGCAAGCTCATATCATTAGGTCCTATAAAAATAAAAATTAATATTAACAAAATAAAACAAAGCATAAACTCATTTTTTATTAAAAGCCCATTTTTTTCTCAAAAAAAAAAAAAGATTTTTGACCGATTTTGCCACCTAAATTTGACCATCCTTCAAGGTTTGACCGCCTAAACTCGCCTCACATGCAAAAAACCAAAATTTCAAACCTTTACACTAAAATCGTAAATGTTTTAGACCGCCTCCATCTCAGAGACCGATTAATTAGCCGTCTCGACCGATTTGTAGAACACTGTCCATAATATCTTAACTTAACAAATATTGTCAGTGACCACAGATTTTAACAAATATATCATATTAACCACCATTTTAACCATATTTTGATTTTTTTTCTTCTCAAACTATTTTGTTTCCCACCACTGACCGGCGTTGACTTTTTTCTTTTCTATTTCTTTTTATAAATTATTTTATTTCATTCCAATTTATGCAACACCAAAAAACATTAAACCAACAATATTGTCTAACACATAGTCCATGATATTTCTACATTTGCACAAATACATGAGTTTTACAAGTTCCAAAAAAAAAAAAGATCAAGAAAAATAAAACTATTGAAAACATCTTTATTTTATTTCTTATTGTGTCTGAAAAAACATCTTCCTAGTTGTACAACACATGACTATTTGTAAGGAATTTATGTATATAGTATTGACAATGTACATTGGTAGAAGTGGAGAAGAAGAATTCTAAATGGTCTGCCCTTGAGAATGAGAAGATCCATGATGCCTCTTAGGTATTTCCTTCCTCATAAGTATTTCCTTTATCTCTGCTTCTTTCTTATCTACAAAATCAATCAAGTTCTTAAAGCTCGGCATCCTTCCGGAGAGCCTGCTAGGACGACCCGCGGGTCGCCCAGATTCCTCAACGCCGTCCACCTGGCAGCGCTCTTCTTCCTTCACTTCTTCGTCTGGTGTACGGTACCTGCTGTACTGCCAGCAAATCCTACAGAAGAACACGGTCAATGCTATGAAGCACACAATGCCGCATATGAGGAATAGTCCCCAAAAGCTCTTTAATGAAAGTCGGCTGTCGTCGACGGGGTTTGTTTGGCCCGTGCACGCCTCCCGAGAAAGCCATTTGTCGTTTATCCTTTGCAGCTCTCCGTTTTCCGATAGTTGAAGGATTGCCGTCGATAAATCTACCGCTAACGGCGAGTCCCGTTGAAATGCCTGCCGTATTTATTTTTAAGTCAATAAAATTGGAAACACAACTAAATGCAATAAACTCAAAATAACTTAAAACACGAAAAAAAAAAAAAAAAAAAAAAAGGGTATACTCACAAATCCCCATCCACTCTTAGTGAACACCCTTCCGACGGTACTAAACTGGCACTTTGTGTTGGACAAGAAAAGCTCGACATACGGAAGCTCGTCGACAATGGCGGCAACACCACCGGCGGCGGGGCCCAGCTGAAGGGCTCTGACATATTCGTCTTGTGATTTCAACACACGAAGCCTGGACTCGGCTATGCTCATCTCGTTTATCAGATAATTATAAGCGAAAGAACCGTCCTGTATCCCTATTGGATCGGAACTCGATCTCAAAGTGTCGATTCCTTGAATTCTCGAGGAGAGCTGCTGTACTGTGAGGATTGATGTCAAACTAGCTGTGTAGCTCGAGTTTATTATCAATACTACGAACAGCCACAGTAACAGCACTAACCGTCCTAGTGTGCTCACTGTGTTTTCTCCTATACACGTACGTCAAATTTCATTGAGGTGATAACTACATACATATATATGTATATTTATCGTAATAATAACGCAGAATATGTAAACTTACTGTGTGCGAAAAACATTGTTGACAGACTAAACCTGAAAAAAGATTTCAATACGACTTAAGTGAGAACTCTTATAAGTGATTTCGAGTATTGCTGCAAATTGAGAACTAAAGATTCAAAATCTATTCATCGAAAGAATCTTATTTCGATTAATTGTAAGCGATTTGGAAACATTATATTAGTTGATAGTGGGTAAACAGTTGAATTCGAATATATTGAATACGGTAAGGAAAACATACTAACCAAAAGACAGTAATCAGTTGTTTCCTCGGAGGCCCACGGAACTCGGTATTCATTCTATGCTCGAGAATCCAAACGACACTTCCGACGAATAGAAAGAAGACACCTGTCACAGCCCACATCTGCCAAGTAAACGGCATAAGAAACGACCACGGATGGGACTTGATCTGCTTCACAGCAGCGACCACAACTAAGCCCGATTCCATAAACGGCTGCGTAAAGTCCACAATCCTCGTTCTGTTCGTCGTTATAGTTACATCTCCCACCGCCGCATCATATTTCTGAACACCACCCCCCACCAAAAAAAAAAAAGAAAAAATTAAAACAAGTGCCGAAAGAAAAGATTTGATCTTGTAATGATTCTTGAAAAGGGAATATTCACATTTTGTGCGACGTCGTTGACAAGATTACCGAAAGAAGGATTTCTTTTGCCATCTCCGTACAAAATATATCGGTGAGGAACAGGATAAGGCAACAACTCAACGGCAGCTTCGAATACATCAATGCAATATCCTTTTGCACCCAACGGCCCTTTATCTTTCGTCACAAAATCCGGATAAGTAACTCTGTAAGGCACCGCAATCTGTAAAGGCCTCCCGTTATTCGGAAACACCCATCCTCTAGGCTTCACCGTATTTTCCCCGGGCCATACCACACTATAGAGCTGCTGCTGCTGCTGAGGATTATTACTACTACTGTTAAACGTGTCGTTTATTGGCTTTGAGTACAATTTTTCTGGAGGAACAGTCGATAGAACAGAGTAATTTGACCAATAGCCTAGCGTCCGGGATCCTGTTCCGACAATGTTAAGAATATCAAAAGCCGGATGAATCAAGTTCTTGTCAGAATCGAACCGAATCTCTCCAGTTAGTCCTGTGAAGTTTGTTGCAGTGAGTATCTCAAGCAACTTTTGGCCTTGATCGAAAATTCTGAGAGATGTCAAATTGAGGGCGCTACCCTTGGTATCTTTCAATAATGGGTCATCGGAGAAACTTATTATATTCCCATTTTGATTCAAGAAAGCATCGATTGCCCGCGCAAGCAACCACACGGAATCATATGCGTACAGAGCATACGAATTGAACTTTAAGGTCCGTTTGTTTTTCATATTTCTCCAGCGATTAGTAAATCTTGTTTTGAGCTCAGATTCGGGAGTGTACCGGCGGAGCGCAATAACACCCTGGAGAAGATCTGCCTTTTCGGGATCGATTGTTCCGGAAGAATCTAGAAGAGTCGGAAGCCAATCGGTTGCAATCCAAACGTAGCCTTTGCCCATCATACCAAGCCTCTTTGCAGCCGAAAAGATATCGAGACCCGAATCTGGATTCACGTGCACAACATAAACACGAGATTCCAACAGGTTGACACGTACCAACAAGTTGTCGATGTCGCTTCTAGAAGCTTCCGGAGTAAATGCCGCCTTGTAAGAGATCTTGGCACGTTTCTTGGACAAGGCGTCGCCTAACACAGAAACGCCGTTTCTTCCGTAATCGTCGTCCACGAAAATGGAGACTAAGTCTTTCCAACCGAAATATTGGATGAGATCCGCAACCGCCTGCATTTGGAAATAATCGGAGGTGGTTGTACGGAGGAAGTAAGGGTACTGGAGAGAGGAGAGAGTGGGGTCCGTTGCGAATGATAGAAGAGGGATGTGGAGTTCGTTCGAGACATGCGAGATCACGTGCGCTATTCCCGACGACTGTGGGCCCAGTGCAGCTACTACTTTGTTCCCCATTAGCTGCATTGCTACATCAAAAATTGTTTTTTTAAATTTTTTGTCAGAATCATTACTAAGATTAGTCCTATAATTAACCACATTCATTAATTGTTTATAGCATCCTAATTAACATCATTTTTCTTAAGGCCATCCTCAACGGAGTCTCTAAACAAACTCTTTTACGATGCGAGATTTCGCATGAAAATGCAACAAATCTTGGAATTGTTTACGGAGACTACTCGAATATAATTTTTAAATAGGCTCGATTACATACATACTCTTTCGTCGTATAGGTTATTTTACGGACACACTGAAATTTTCGAGTCTATCATCCAATTATTATATGCTAATAATCATAATAAACAATATGGTACTCATCAAAGCACCAAAAAAAAAAGGGCAAATTACGGCACACCCCTTGAAGTAAGGTCAAATTATGAAAAGAAACCCTCATGTTTGGGTAACTACAACCACCCTCCTCAACTATGAATCTTCTTACAAGTTCATCATTACGGTATCAAATTTAGTGGAATCTTCTAGATTATGTGGAGTATTCTCCAGTTTGTATCCGTTTTATCGCATTCGTGCTCCTCATTTTGAAACAAGATGATCATAAGATGTGTCTTTTGGCTTGTAATTGTAATTATCAGATTGTGGTGCATCAGAAACTTCATTTTTGCACAAAACGAGTACAAACTAGAGAACATTCCACGGAATCTAGAAAATTATGTTGAATTCGACACCATAAGAATAAAACGTGTAAGAAGGTTCATAGTTGATGAGCGTGGTTGCAATTGCCCAAATACGATGTTTTTTTCGTAATTTGGTGGCCGTAATTTACCCAAAAAAAAAATGAATGAATGAAAAAAGAAAAAAAAAAAAAAAAGAAAGAGTATAGTACCTTCAACAGTGCCAAGAAAGCCACTGCAATTAGTGTCAAGCAAGATGAGATTAATGTTAGTGTTGAGGAGGATTGAAGCATCGTTATTGACGTCATCAATGGCGGAAAGAATAGCTGGGCCCACAGACATTCCAATAGCTGAATTTGAAGTGAACAAAGCACCAACATTCACCACACTTTCCCTCTCTGAAACTGCACTGCTGCATAAATCGAAACAACAAATAAACAACACCACCAAAACCCTCTTCATTATTTAATTAATCCCCAGTTTCTTTTTTCTTTTCTTTTTTTTGGAGAAAGATTAATTAAATCATTCTGGTGACTGTGAGTGGGATTCTTATTACAGACATGGATAAAGACAGCAGTTTGAGTCGAGTTAAGGGCATCAATTCTGAAAAAATTGAGGGTTTTTTGTTTTAAAACAAGAAAAGATACACACACCACAGAAAAATAAGAAAACTTTCAAGAAAATTAATAAGACAAAAAAAGAATCAACTTGGAAGGTGTATAAAAATTGATTGCTAATATAGATAGTGAAGGGGGAAAAGTAGTTAAATCAACATCCTTAATTAAATAAATAAATTAATTAATAAATAAAGAAAATGAAGGAAGAATAGTAGTAGTGGAAATGGGATTGTACGAAAATTTGGAGTTCTTGAGAATATATTTAAAACGTGGGTGGTAAGGACTGGACACAGGAAGTTTCCTCATTGGTAACAAATAATACAGACAGAAAACAAACGATCAAAATTTCACTTGTATTTACAGACAATAATCTATTCAAATATTTTAGATGTTGTATAATAACAGTCTCTTTTTAAATATATTTTTGTTTCATATCTTATAATTTGTCTATTTGGATTTTTAATATTACATTAGAGGTATATTTTTTTTCTTTGTTTTTAATCCTATTAATTTTACTCTAATTATTAATTTTCTTATATTGCATCATTAAGGTGGTGTTGCAAAAGTTTATTTAAAAGTAGAAGTTATATATTATAAGTTAAGTTGATTTTAAGTGTTTACTTCTAAAAGTTTGAGGTGTTAGCAAATTTGCTGGAAAATTAACTTAAATAGCAAAAGTACGGTCATTGGTGCTTAATAAATTATAGCTTAAAGTTAGTTATTTTAAGAGAAGCAAAAGCAAAAGTTTATTTTGCAAACACTTAGAAATAGATTATGGGCAAAAAAAAAAAAAAAAAAATCATAATCTATTTGTTAAACTCTTGCAAACACCACCTAAATGACAAATGTTATTTTAGTTTTTTTAATGTATTTTTCCTAAAATCAATACATATTTATTATGATTTTAAATAATTGTACAAACATGAAAAACAATAATTCGACAAATAATTTGAAAATGTGGGAGTTTATAACATAAAAGTAATGTGACTCTCACCTTGTAGTTTTGGTCAACTTTTAAGAAATTGATGATGTTAATATGACATTCCAAAAGATTAACTGCACTCAAGTACAAAGGAGATTATTCAGCGTTGATAAGATGAAATAACTTTCCACTGAACACATTTACATAGGGCTGTGATTATATGCAGAACAATGTTAATAATCAAGCTAATGTATTTCAACGGGTATAAAATTAAATAAGCCGGCAAAGTGGCTCTCTTAGGTGTTTTTTTGTTGCTATCTTTTGGGGGTTAAATATGTTATTTTGCACCCCTAATATATATGGTATATCATATATGACACTTATGCTTTCTAAGTGAAGGAGTAAGTGCCACGTTTATTAATGGCTTAGTTCCACTTTGTATCCTTGAAATGGAATTTTTTAACACTTTGCACCCTTGAAAAATAATAATTACACTTTTCACCCTCAAAACACAATAAATCATTCACAATGCACTATTAATTGAATAATAAAGGATAATTCATTATTTATTGTTATTTTTTCTGGTTCAAAATAGCAATTAAATTATTATTTTCTTCAACCTCCAACCTAATTTCGAGCGCACTAAGTGCGAAAAAATAAAAATCACACCGGATAATTGAAAAAAAATATATTTTCTTACAAAATAAAATCAAATAACTTTTATCACTAAATTATTTGATTGATAGATCTTTAATTGTAATTGGTTGAAATATTAAGTACAAATATTTGGAAGAAAATATGATTTTCAAATAACTTGATAACGGAATAGCTGAAGGATTTTTTTTTTTTTTCGTAAAATATTTTTTTGTGATAAAAAAATATAATTTTTAAATACCACTAAAAATATTAAATTACCTTTATTATCTTTAAAAACTCATATAGGGTGCATTATGCATGATATATTGTGTTTCGATGGTACAAAGTGCTATTAATTTGTTTCGAGAGTGCAAAGTGCCAAAATGATATATTTTAACGGTGCAAAGTGGGATTAAGCCGTTTATTAATAAACTATTTTCATTAGCTTAGATAGTTGATTCTTACACGGGAAAGCGAAAGTAAGCAAGTAACATGGTATCTTTAGTGAAAATGTTTAAAGAAAATAACATATATGGACAAAATTCATTCTCTAATTTCAAGTACATAACCATGTAAGATACAGGTGTGTAGGCATCATATAAAGGACAATAAAAATTAAATTATTAATTGATGCTGGAGGAGCAATTAGCAATTCTTTATTAATCAAGGAACTAAAATGCGTAAATCGCCACCTTCGTGCAATAATATGCAAATCATACGAGAAATATACACCACAATATGCATAAGTCATGTGTGACAATCTGAACCTAAATAATATTGAAAATAAGATTTTAATTTGGATTATTTAACAGTATATTCTCTTATTCCGCCAACTACACTGTCCTTTGCGAGATGCAATCTTTCTTTTTTTAAACATTGTGCACATGGATAAATTAAGCTAATAAATAAATACAAAGTGATTGTTAATTATTAATATAGCAGTTGCAACCTAAAACCATTACAATTAACAGTATGCATTAGTTGGGCCAGCTATTTTACGACCTAAAGTATAGTAGAGTGAAGTAGAGATCGAGCTCGATAATAAAAAAAGCATTTACTAAAATATATAATTTGAAAAAAAAATAATAATATTCTTGTAAGAATTTTAATGAAGAGGGACTTCAAAAAATTAGCTTTAAGGAAAAAAGGCGCAATATGTATTCTTGCAAGGTTGGAAAAGAATACGATTCTTTGTTGTTTGCTTTAATTCTTCTATTACTATTTAGCTATCTTGTTTTGCACTTGATTCTACAAGTGTGATTTGCATGTTTAATAGTCTTCACAAAACTTATCCATCATCCCATGATTCAATTATTAAATACTCTATACTATTATTAAATAATTTTTTTTGGTATTTGATTAAAGAACTCTTGAATAAGTTACTTAAATGGTCTGGTATTTAATTAAATGAGATACTAAATTTGGTTTATTAACAATATTAGATGCTAATCTTTTTTTTTTTTTTTTTTGATGTGGGTAGATTCAACGCAAAACCAGAATTTATAACTAGGGGGCTGGATACACATGAAAATAAAACAATGGCGGTACTAAGAGCATGTTTGGCTAAGCTTATAAGCTCCTAAAAACATCTTATAAGATGATTAGGAGCTTATAAGTTGTTAAAAGGTGTTTGGTAAAAAAATTGAAAAAGATCTTATTTTTTCCAAAAATAAGCTGTTAGGGAGCTTACAAGATGTTTTTAAAAAGGGGTCATTAGCAATAAACCCCTCATATAGCTAATAAATGTTGATATGTCCACCCCTTAAATCTTTCTTTGTGATAACCCCTTAGAAATTATATTTCCAATAATACCCTACTATCAATTAGCATAATTTGTCTCAATTATTCCTTTTTTCTCTCTTTCCATAACAGCAATTTAATTCCCTAAAAATCTGCTTCCAAATTCCTAAAAATATGCTACCAAATCAAAAATAAATAAAAAAATTGAATATTTTATTTTTTATTTTTAGTGTATTTTTAATAAAAATATTTTTTAAACAAAAAATTGATTTTTTTTTCTCAACTTATTTACTTTGCCGAATATGACTATGGGTAATATGACTATATCGGCTGTAGTCATATTTTTTATTTATATTGCAGTTTTTTATATTTTCAATTTATAAATTCCGATTATATAATGTAGTAGAGTCATGTTTACCAAATTATATAAAAAAAAAAAACGAAGATTGCCTATTGTTTACGAAAAACATCCACACAAAAAATCACAATTTGAATGTTGTTATTACAAGTCAACTTGAAACGAAAATATGGAACATATTTGAATATGACTAAAGTCATATTCAGACAGTAGTCATATTCGAATATGACTATAGTCATATTACTACTGCTAGTTCAGATCTGGAGAAAAAAAAAATTTCGAATATGACTATAGTCATCTCGAATATGACTATAGTCATGTTACTGCTCCTAGTTTAGATCTGGAGAAAAAAAAATTCGAATATGACTATAGTCATCTCGAATATGACTATAGTCATGTTGCTGCTCCTAGTTTAGATCTGAAGGGAAAAAAATTGAAAAATACACAAATAGAGAGAGCAATATAACAAAAGAGAGGGAGGGGAGTTCACGACAACGGCGGTGGCGGCGATGAACGAAAGCGAGAGTAAGAGAGGCTGCGACGGTGGTGGTGGTGGATAGATCTGAAGAAAAAAAAAACAAATATCGAACTTAATTTGAAATGTGATCGGATAAAATAAACTTTCATTCTTCTGTATGATACAACGAGAAACTTAGCTACCTCTTCTTTGGTTGTACAATGGAGGCCCTTCCATTCCTTGTGAAAAAACTCGTATTGGTGATTCGCGTAACATACGAGAAATTAATAAATCACTAATCGAGTGAATCAGCAATAGTCATATTCGAACCAGACTATAGTCACGTTAATTCTGCTGCTTCAGATCTGGGAGAAAAAAAAAAGTCAGAAAATAACAAAAGGGAGGGAGGAAGAAGCATAATTATTAAGATAACAGTAAGAATATGACTATTATGTGAATGTGACTGTGCTTTGTAAAACATTATAATTAACAGACAGTAGAAGCATGATTCTTAACAAAAACAACGAGAATATGACTATTATGTGACTACGGTTTGTATAACAGTGACTGAACAGGACAGTGGGAATATGACTATTATGTGACTAGGTTCTGCGTAATGTGACTACAAGTAATCAGCACTTGAAAAAACTTGCAATATTAATAGCAAAATACATTGCAAAAAGAAAAAAAAATGACTAAAAAAAAACAAAAATAACTAATGTGATCCCCCATCGAACATGTTTTATTGTTGCGGTATCCAACTCGGTTGCACCGACTGCACTTAATCTTCCGTTTGATCTTCTCTGTTAAATATGACTACAGTGTTGAACATATGCAGCACTACAAAAAAAAAAGGAGAAGGCGGCGGCAACGAGCGGTGACGGTAATAGTTGTGTACAAATCTAACCTGAAAACCCAAACAACATGAAACACAAAAAAAAAAATACAAATCACAACTCTTATCATGCCAATCCACAACTGTCAATGCATACAAATGCATAGAAACATGCTATAGGATACGAAAAAACAAAAACTCACAAAAATTAATAAAATGCAAGATAATTGAAATCTACGCATTCATAACAAACCAAATAATATAACTATTGTAAAACATTGTAGAAAAGAAAACATTGTTGTAGAAAAAAAAAACGAAAGAAAAATTCAGATCCATAACAAGTTTTACAGCTAATTAATTCGAGAAAAAATAAA